AAGAAGCCAGACACAAAAAGGTCACATACTTTATGACTGCATTCATATAAATTATCCGAATAGGTAAATCCATAGAGACAGAAAGCAGATTAGTAATTGCCAGGGACTGATTGAGAATAACTATTTTTGGGGTGATGGAAACATTTTGGAATCAGAAGTGATGGCTGCAAAACATTGTTAATGTACTCAATACTACTGAACTACATACTTTAAAATGGTTAATTTTATGTTATATAAATTTTACCTCATAAAAAAATTTTTTAAGAGTCTTACATCAAATCCTCACAATCATCTTTTATCTTTTTACTGCCAACACTTTCCATTCCCATTATGATCACTCTTCTTCAGGCCTATTATGTAGTACCAAAGATTTCCTGACCCTGCTAAACTAGCTTCCTTATTAACTCAAATTTCTCCCTCAGTCAACCCATCATCCAGTCTAATCTTCCTATAAATAATGCTGCACTCACATGACATCACTGCTCAAAGGCCAACAGTGGCTATCACACATAGCAGATTCTCAATAAATGTTAAATTGAGTAAAACTGAATAAATGATGTGAGGAAAACACACAAAAAAATTTTTTACCTGAAAATATAGACTAATTTCAAATGATTTTTTTTTAAATTCAGAATTTGCACAGTTCGGTGTATGAAAGCAAAAGATCAGTAAGATCTAGAATGATCCTCTATGGAAGTTTGTTTAAACACATTACGTCTAAGACTAATTATACACTGTCAAACAAAGAACAGCCTGGCATGGGGGCTCATACCCATAATCCCAGCACTTTGAGAGGCTTTGGCAGGCAGACCACTTGAGGCCAGGAGTTCAAGACCAGCCTGGCCAACATGACAAAACCCCATCTCTACTAAAAATACAAAAATTAGCCAGGCATGGTGACACACACCTGTAATTCCAGCTACTCGGGTGGCTGTGGCATGAGAATCATTTGAACCCAGTAGGTGGAGGTTGCAGTGAGCAGAGATCGTACCGAGTTTTGGGGAACACGAACATTCAGGTCATAGCACTTCCTGACCTCACAGTTCAGCACAATCCTCCTAGGCTCGACTAGTCCTTTTTGCATCAAACTCTTCTAATCCATTGCCTATCTCACTCCAATTCTCTACTCTTTAGCAATAAAGGATCCACTATGAAAACTTTAATAGGAGATACAAATTTAAATTTTAGTTCTGCTACTGGTTGTATGATCTTGGTCAAGTTATTTAATCTTTTTAAACTCCAATTTCTAACAGAAAACCAAATGCTTCCCCTGTGAGGAGGAAGGGTGGGCAAAGGAGAGGAGAAAAGATAATAATTGAGTACTGGACTTAATATCTGGGTGATGAAATAATATGTACAACAGGCAAGGTGTGGCGGCTCACGCCCATCATCTCAGCACTTTGGGAGGCTGAGGTGGATGGGTCACCTGAAGTCAGGAGATCGAGACCCGTCTGGCCAACATGGTGAAATCCCATCTCTAGTAAAAATACAAAAATTAGCCGGGTATGGTGGTGGGCACCTGTAATCCCAGCTACTCAGGAGGCTGAGGCAGAAGAATCACTTGCACCTGGGAGGTGGAGGTTGCAGTGAGCTGAGATCACTGCACTCCTGCCTAGGCAACAGAGTGAGACTCAGTCTCAGAAAAAAAAAAAAAAAAAAAAGAAAGAAATAATATGAACAACAAACCCCCATGACGCATATTTACCCATGTAGCAAACCTTCACATGTACCCCCAAACCTAAAATAAAAGTTTAAAGGAAAACTCCAGTCTCCTTGTTTATATAATGGTGTTATATAAAAAAAAAAAAAATTCATAAAATGCTTGTAAATAATTTTTGAAAGACTATGTGTAAAGCACTTACAGTACATAGCAGGCACTCAACCAATGGTGGTTACTACTTTCCTACCTTCTAGTGCTTCTGGTGTTTAATTTTTAAAATTTGACACAAACATGGCCAGGGGTGGTGGTTCGCAGCACTTTGGGAGGTTGAGGCAGGCAGATCACTTGAAGCCAGGAGTTCAAGACTAGCCTAGCCAATATGGCGAAAGTACTGAAAGTTCAAAAACTTAGCCAGGCGTGGTGGCATGCAGGTCCCAGCTGCTTGGGTCCTACAGTACTGTTTCTTAACCAAAACAATGCATTACAAACTCCAAAAGGATTTTTAAGAACTTGGTTAAGCACTGTGAACAGTCCCTCTTCATATGACAGCTGTACTCCCTGAGGCAAGTCTTTGTATCTGTAACTATGCCTTATGTAACCTGGTTTCCAAATCCTCAATATACTGGATGCCAGTATTTGGAAGCATCTAAGTTTCTCAATACCATTGTTGAAGAATATCTATCAAAAGTGGATTAATCACATCATGTTTTATTTGACCAACACACACATAAGGGAGCTATTGCATTCCTCCACCTGAGCACCTCTCAGACTTGAATCAATGTCATCATGGACTGTGCTGACTAGAAGTAGGACTTCTAGTTCATACATTACCACAGCAGCTCTAAGTTTTTTATTCATGTAAGCTGCTGCCAGGCTAGGTGCTCACTAATCTATACAATTCCTTTTAAAATTTTAATGTAGAGTTTTACAATACTGTCTGTTCCTATTCATCTTGTTCATGTCTATCTTGATGTTAGTGCTTCCTATATTCCTTAGTTTAAGCATGTCATTTTTCCTTCATCTGTATCACTGAGTAAGTGTTGAGATGGGGCCAAAGAAAGTTTTCCTGCTTCTTCTATTTCCTTAGTGAACTACAATTCTGTTCTCGTGTTTCTACTTCAAAACCAATTTCTCCCTCATTGCTTTCCCTCAATTCCTATGACACACTAAAGACTCCTTAGTTGTTTACCAGGACTGTAAGACTTGAGAGTTAGAAGGGACTTCCCAGGATCATTTAGTCTTGCCTAACTCTCTCCTTTACAAGAAACAGGAAATCAGAAAAGTTCAGTTATTTTTCGCAGGCCACATGGCTGGGAGCAGAACTAAGAAATACTAAATATATGGTATTCTTTCCATTACAGTTTTTTATTTAAATTTTTGTATTTTCATCGGCTCATTTCATCTACATGAAATAAATTATTTTTTATTCTGTGTTATTTAAAACATTGTGCAATTTTTGTTTTCAAAAATATTCTGGCTACCATACAAAGAGCACGTAATGCTCTGTTTCTTCTACTTTGTAAGCTCATTCAGGGAGGAAGTAGATGGAAGTAGATCAATAGCCTGTCTCTACTCTGACAAACTGCCTGGCAAAATAAATTAAAAAATTGGCGTTGCTGCAGGGCAAAGGAACATTTTGGTTGCAATTTCAAATCCTGTTTCTCGGTCTGCAAATGCATTAACTATCAACTTCCTAAGACTCAGCAGAAAGAATAATTTTACCATTGTATCAATGATATATATTGAATGTATCAATGATATATATTGAATGTATCAATGACACAATGGATTTTTTTTTTTTTTTTTTTTTTTGAGATTGAGTCTTGCTCTGTCACCCAGGCTGAAGTGCAGTGGCACAATCTTGGCTCAATGTAGCCTCCACGTCCAGGTTCAAGTGATTCTCCTGCCTCAGCCTCCGAAGCAGCTAAGATTACAGGTGCCTGCCACCATGCCCAGGTAACTTTTGCATTTTTAGTAGAGACAGTGTTTTACCATGTTGACCAGGCTGGTCTCAAACACCTGACCTGAAGTGATCCACCTACCTCGGCTTCCCAAAGTGCTGGGATTACAGGTGTGAGCAGCCACTCGTGGCCACAATGGATTCTTTTATATTATTTCTGGTTGATTTATGGTCAACATGGCTTATGACTAAACCTAGATATGAAATCCACTGTGTTTTTAATAAATAACAATCATCATACACCTTTCCACCAGAATGTAGGATCTGCAAGAGTTAGCATTAGTTTTTCACCCTATGATTTCTGCCTGGCTTGGAGAAGGCTCTCAATAAGAATGTGTCGATGAACAAATGCATAAGCAAATAAGTACGTTTTTCAAAGGTAAAACTCACCCAAAAAATGAAAATGCAAAGATCTGAAATTTTAGTAACTCACCAAAAAGTAAACGGAAGAGACATATTCCAGAAGGACACACTAAAGCTAACAAATGAGTCTTCATATTACAATTACAATATTCTTTTTCAACAAGTGCTTACTCCTTTTCTCCTTTGCCCTTTTCTCTGGAATCTCTCATCAGGTTACTCTTTGTTTCCTTAGGCTTGTTTTGCATAAGAGACTTCTATAATAATTCTTCTGTTCATTTTTGTAGAAACACCAAGCAAATGTTCAAGAAATTCAAATCAAGTTCACTATGATAAGATCATAAGGAGGCCATCGGCAGAACCAAAAGAATTAGGCTCTTGTAAATTATTATTAGTACTACTTCATGACCCAAACTAAGTAACAGTCAAGAATTCACTATATTCCTCTTTGTCGTACAGCTGTTCTCATAACTCGTATCAAAATATCAACCCTCACATTCATCAAAACATCAATTTCTAGCAATACTATATTGATTAACTAAAAACATTCTCTTTACTAGTGTTTTTATTAAAGATTATCTTTACACTGTTCCTCTAAAAAAAAAAGTTAAAAGTCGTAAAAAAAAAAAAAATGTTAATTCAAAAGTTGAGGATGAAGAAATCTGTTCATCTAATCCCTTTTTCTAATGTTTTTAATATGTTTACAATTTATTTAATTCACTTCAAATGTCTGTGCCAAGTTGAAAGTTACTAAATTAGAACTGCATCAAGCCCAAACCATTCATATTCTTTCTCTACTTGTTAAACATTCATGTTAAGCATTTTAAATTATTTTACTTACCAAGTCAAAACTACAATTTTTGGATGTATCACCAATCATTTGGTTTGTATTACATAAACATAATGTACTAGCTTACATAAACCCACCAAATAGTTTTCCTTTAAATTTACAAAAGCAGAAAATCGAATTCACAACTGTAAAAAAACAATGGATTTAACAATAATAAACAGATTACTTACTGAAAAAATCTTTAAAGACATTTAACCAATCCATTTTGAAGAAAAATTCCGTGTTCTCTTTTGTCAGGATAATTCTCAGTGAGCTTCCTGGTCTGTTCTGCAACACTGAAACTTCCCACACCCAATCCATGTGACCTGGCCCACACCCAGGCAATAGAAAGTTTTTCTGAGGCTTCTCTCTTTCCAAAACTTGTTTTCCTCTAAATTATAACACAGCCTGTATAACAAGTAAATAATGATGGCCAAAAATATGACCTTCTTATTTAAACTTATTTTGGAAGAAACTTTAAAGCATACACGCTTTTTAGTACTAAAATATATTCACGCATTAATCCTTTTGTTTTCTTCTTTTCCTTCTCAACTTTCAAACAATGTCTCCACCAGCACAACCATTGTGAAACAAATCCATTAATTACACTGGACATTTAACTTACCAAACGGTGCAGAAATTACAAGAAAAGAAAAAGGCTATCTAATGCAAACGCTGGACTTACATCTCTTTACAGGCTAACTACAGATCACTAACTCAAAACAATGTTTCCAAGCACCTTGGAATATTGGTAGCAATAACTGTAATATAGTAATAAAGTTAACAGAGATTTCCTAAGACTTAAATAGATAAAAACCTTGATAAAACTGTCTCAGTAACATCAGAATGTAGTATAGAAGGCATCCCTGGAGTATTAGCAAATAATAAAAATTATGTCTAAATGGGCTTTTAGGTTTATATATGTAATATCTAATACTGGGATATTTCCCCCTTTTACTCTATGATATTACTTTTTTCACTATATTTTGTTAATTACTGTCACATTCACTCTAGTCCCAAGATACCAGTGTCCTTTTAAAATGGAACAAAAAAGTCTGAGTATATTCTAGTACCCTGTGCACTTATCACTATGAGGCATACTTTCTTGACAGAAATTACCTTAATTTCCCCCAATATCTCTAATCAACATGCTTTAAATAAATGTCCAGTATTTACAAAACCAGAAGTATCCCTGGTTTTAACCCCGGTCTCTTCTGCTACTGAAGGAAAATCTCTGATTTGTCTTCCACTGAAAAACTAAAAATAATGGTCTTTATGGCAAAACCTGAAAAGTACTAAAAAAGTTACCTCAGCAGTTAAATATGACCATGACTCTATCTACTTAATTACCTTTAGAACACTGGAAATACTTTTTTATCTCAGAAACTGATAATCCATTACTTTATATCTTACTCCAAATTGTACTATATTTTAGTTTTTGCAGTTTTACAATGGTTAAAAACTTTAAATATTTGTCTTTTATTGATGGTAATTAGAAGAACATTCTAGAATAACAATAATGTTGAATAAAAATAAAAACTAAGCTGGGCATGGTAGCGAGCATCTGTAGACCCAGCTACTCGGGAGGCTGAGGTGGGAGGGTTGCTTGAGCCTAGGGGTTCAAGTTTGGCCTGGACAACACAGCAAGACTCCATCTCTACAAAAACCATAAAAAATAAATAAATAAAAACTAATGTAAAGTAGTGAGTCAATAGTATTTCGTATTTGTCAATCAGGCTATATTGTTCCCAAACTGTCTTTGCAAGGAGAAATTGTACTTTTCTTCTACATACAAACAAAGAACCATTACGCAAACAGCATGTTTGTCTGAACACCAAAAATGAAATTCTGTCCCTCCCAATTCCTTCCTGTCAGCTATGGAGAGTTTAATTTTTGTTTTCTTTTTTAAAGAGAAGAGGCCATTCCTCGCCCATGCATATTTCCTTCCTATTAGCTTAGCCAAGTCCAATGTAGAGCCAAGTGGGCTCTACTGTCTCAGGCCCTAATGGAGGGCCGGCAAAAATAAAAAACAAAAACTTTATATTTAGAGAAATAAAGAAAGCGAAAAAGAGAAACAAAATATAAAGGAGCTCTGTAGGTGCTAATGTACAGTAATGATTCACAGTTCTCTTATCAAATAGAGAAATAAAATGGTGGATTTTAAGTGAAGTTCAAAACATAAGGTCATTAGATGTTAAAATTCATTATGTGCCATGTAAATAAGTTGCCTTGGTGCCAAAGAGGCAGTTCTGCCTATAAGTCTAAACTCCAACAGTCATTCATGGTTCAAAGAGCCCCTGCTAGAAGATCATAGTTAGTTCTACTTATTAGCACCACTTTGGCCTGACTTTAAGAGTGGGCCTAGATTTACAGAGACTGCATGTTAACACTTATGACTTTCATTTGTCTTTTGGGTTGAATACCTGCTATGAGTCAAACTTACCTAGCCCTTGCCTTTTCAAGTCAATTATGTACACTGCTGCCAGAATTATGTACAAAGAACTAAACTCCAGGATTCATTTAAAACAAAGCAGTTTTGTTTTTGTTTGTTTGTTTGTTTGTTTCAAATAAGAAATACCTTAGCCGGGCACAGTGGCTCATGACTGTAATCCTAGCACTTTGGGAGGCCGAGGCAGGTGGATCACAAGGTCAGGAGTTCAAGACCAGCCTGGCCAAGATGGTGAAACGCCGTCTCTATTAAAAATTACAAAAAAATTAGCTGGACGCGGTGGCACATGCCTGTAATCCCAGCTATTCAGGAGGCTGAGGCAGAATTATTTACACCCAGGAGATGAAGGTTGCAGTAAGCCGAGATCATGCCACTGCACTCCAGGCTGGGTGACAGAGCAAGACTTTGTCTCAAAAAAAGAAAAAAAAAAAGAAATAGAAATCTCTTACCTAGGGTATCTTTTAGGTTTTTTACAATAGATGCTTTCCGAGCACTGTTTTTCCTTTCCACATAGTTAGAAGGCACAAAACCTGTTTTATTCATGGAATTTCGAACTCACCACCAGGACTTAGAATCATCCAGAAGCCATAATCTCTCATTCTTCTTGATGTCCAATTCTTGTTCTTGTTGAGCCACATAATCAAATTTGGCTACTACCACCACTTCTTCTGCCATCTTTCAGCAGCTTCGGCACTGTAAACACATGGGAAATATTTTTATGTAAGGCTGAAGTAGTATTAGTCCACATGCTTTCCAAAAGAGACACACCTAAAAATCTAAAGACATAAAGATTAAAAGTAGAAACTATAGAAAAAAAATACATGAGGCAAATACTAATTTAAAGAGACTAGTGTGTCCGGGCGCAGTGGCTCATACCTGTAATCCGACACTTTGGGAGGCCAAGGCAGGCAGATCACTTGAGGTCAGGAGTGCGAGACCAGCCTGGCCAACATGGTATAATCCCATCTGTACTAAAACAGAAAAAATAGCTGGGCATGGTGGTGCGCACCTATAGTCCCAGCTACTCAGGAGGCTTAGGAATCACTTGTACCCGGGAGGCAAAGGTTGAGTGAGCCTAGATCGTGCCACTGCACTCCAGCCTGGGCAACAGAGGGAGACTGTCTCAATCAACCGACCAACCAATCAATCAATAAAGACACTGGTGTTGCTATATTAATATCAAACAAAATTTTAAGAGCAAAAACCATTACTAGCAATAAAGGCGACTATCCAATGAAAAAGGTTCTATTCAATATATATAATATCTAAGCTTATATGTACCTAGATAGTTCCAAAATATGTTGATAAAACCACAAGGAGAAACTGACAAACTCATTACCACAGACGACAATTTTTAACATATTATCACAATAATAAAACAACCAAAGAAATAAAAACATTGGGCACAGTGGTTCACAACTGTAATCTCAGCACTTTGGGAGGCCAAGGTGGATGGATCACCTGAGGACAGGAGTTTGAGTCGTGCCTGGCCAACATGGTGAAACCCATCTCTACTAAAAATACAAAAATCAGCCAGGTGTGGTGGCAGGCGACTATAACCCCAGCTACTCGGGAGGCTGAGGCAAGAGAATCTTGAACCTGGCACGTGGAGATTTCAGTGAGCTGAGATCGTGCCACTGCACTCCAGCCTGGGTGACAAAGCCAGACTCGGTCTCAAAAAAAATAAAATAAAAACATTATTAAGGGTAGAGAAGAAATGGTTTCACAACCAGTAAGTCTGATTTAATAGAGATACACAGAGTATTGCTTCCAAACAGAATACAAATGAAACACATACAAAAATTAATCCAATGCCCAGCCATAAAGAATGTCTCAACATTCATGTAACTGGTATCCTATAACCATATTCTCTAACAACCATAACAAAAAGGTAACTTTTTAAATACCAAATATGTTTGAAAACTTCTAAAAACTGATGAATCTAAGAAGAAATCATACAGAATTTTGAAAATACTCAGAAGTAAATGATACTTTAAAAACTATACATCTAACCATGGGGGATGCATCAAGAGGAGTGTATATAGAAAAGGTTTTTAGTTTTAAATAGTAACATTAGCAAATAAAAGAGCTAAAAATAATGAACTGAGTATCTTAAGCAGTGAGAAAAATTGAAGAAACATTAGAAAACCAAATCCAACTAGAAAACAAGCAAAGAAACATAAAGAGACATTCACTGAAGATTTACAGATGGAAATTAAGCACATGAAAAGGTATTCATCATCATTAGCTATTAAGAAAATGCAAATTAAAACCATATTGAGATGTCACTACACACACCTGTCAGAATGGCTAAGAGTGGTAATACCAAATGATGACAAGGGTAAATTGCAACCAGATCACTCATGCACTGCTGATGAGAATGTAAAATGGTATGGTTACTCTGTAAAATCGTCTTGATAGTTTCTTATAAAACTAAACATGCAACTATCATATAACTCAGCAATTGCACTCCTGGGTATTTATCCTAGATAAGTGAAGACTTATGTTCACATTTTACATGAATGTTAACAGCAATTTTATTTCTAACAGTCAAAAACCGGAAACTACCCAGACGTCCTACAATAGGCAAATAATTAAACAAACTGGTATGTCCACACCAAAAAGGAACAACTGATATATAAAACAACCTGGATGACTCTCCTGGGAATTATGCTCAGCGAAGAAAAGCATAAAACATTATTTTTATGTTTAAAAATAATGATTAACTATATGGCTCCATTTATATAACACTCTTGAAATGACAATAAAGTTTAATTAAAATAAAAACTGAAAGAGAAAACACAAATAGTCAAATAGTATTTAAAAGATCCTGAATATCTCTGTAATTAAAGAAATGAACTAAAAGTGAAATATACTTTACCTATCGGGGTGACAAAAATATCACCAATATTATCTAGTGCTCCCCAGAAGGTACAAAAATAGCATTCTACTACATTACTGGTATAATAACTGAAAATTCATATAATGCCTTTAAGTTTTTTAATGATGGGACATTTCAACATACATAGAAGTAGAGAATAGTATAATGAATCCTATACCTATCACCCAACTTTATCAATATTATGTCTTGTGGTTCACCTATACCCCTAATTTTTGATGGGGGAACTGGAATCCTATGATTTCATAAAAGTACTAACAGATTGAAAACCCATACTCCTCAAAAATTAACAAATCAATGGCTCTTGACCTTTTTCCCTTTTTAAACCCATTTATGCCGGAGGCTACAATTATTAGTGTGTGAAAAATCAGACCTTGGTGATGACCTTAAGCAGCAGGATATAAATAACTCCCACAAGCATAGCATTCCAATATTGGAACACCAGGCATAAATACGGTAAGCCATGGGCTTCCCCTCCTGCCTTCTGGCAGTGTGGTGAAACATAGAACTTCTACTCAAAATAATGTTTTTGAAGCATAAAAATATATAAGATTGTAAATAAGTCAATTATATTAAAATTCAATTATCAATATATTTTCAAAAGCTCCTTTTGAAAAGGTATTTATTAAGTTTAAGAACTCCTGCAACACTTATTTCATCTAATGCTAATATTCAATTTTTGTTGAGTGTATTTTAAAAAAAAAAATTCTTACAGTTGCTTTGAACTGGGATCCAAACTAAGTCGATATATTGCACTTAAGCTAATATGTTTTAAGTCTCTGCCACCATTCTCTTTCCCCGCTCTATGTCATTTATTTATTTGTTTAAGAAGTTGGCTTCATTTGTCCTGTAGCATTTCCCACATCATGAATTTGGCTAATGTGTATTTTTGTGGTGTTCCTCTATTACCACTATCTCCTATAAACTGGTAATTATTTCTAGAGGCTTTATTTTTTCTAGGTTGTTTTGTCATTGCTGCAAGAATACTTCATATGTATTCTTATGTACTTCTTATTGCCATTTATTAGGAGGCACATTATGTCTGCCTGAACCATTTTCTGTGATGTTAAGACTGAATGGCAGATCTGCAGCATTATAAAGTTTTATCCATTATAAAGTTCCATTATAAAGTTTATGATTTATCCATTAAAAAGTTCCCCCACCAAACCTCTACCCAATGGTTTTATCTGCCACTGATGATCACTGCCTAGATAAACTATTTCCAAAATGATGATTTGCTAGTGTAGCTTTTTAGAAACTATGAGTATTCTTGAAGGAAAATTTTGCCTAATTATTCCATTACTCTAAGACATAAAACCTTATAGAAATGGTAGAATATATACTTCTGTGTGGTTATGACACCAATTGGATGTAGATTTAGGCTCACTTGTTTCCATTTTTTGAAGATCACTTCATTTTCTCTTTTTAAAATGTAATTGTTCATAATTATGTAAAACATCTGGATGGTTCTAAAAGCTAAACTATCAGGCAAGGTACATTTAGAGAGGTCTTCTTCCATACATTCTCTTTTCTCTCTCCTCCCCTCCCCCACCCACCCCATTGGATAGCCATTTGTTTTGTTTTGGTTTATGTTTCTGTTTTTTTTTTTTTTTAAATATTTTAAGGAAAGTATTCAAGAAAAATATAAAAGAAAACTGAAAATTCTAATTTTTACCTACCCCCACAACAAAACATACTCATACACATGCATGCGTGCACACATACACACACAGGGATATACTATATTGTGTTAATCTTTTTCAGTTTAATAATATATCCTTAAGCTCATTCCACAGCAGCATATGAGATTTCCTTTACTAATATATCTACTACTTCTAACAATTATACAGTTCTTCATCATTATAGAAGTAGCACTTCCTTCCACTGGACCTGATGGGTCAATGTGTTGTTTCTAATTTTCTAGGATAAATAGTGCTGCAATGAACGGCCTCATATACATGTCATTTTGATTTTCTGTTAGTGTACCTTTGGGTTAGAATCATAGAAGAATGCTGAGTTACAACTAAGGTTTGTATAATTTTGTGAGATATTGCTAAATGCTGTATTCGTAACTATTTTCTAAAATTCCTAATATATCAGTGATTATTTCCTCACAGCCTTGTCAACAAAGAGTGTTGTCAATCTTTTGCATTTCTGCCAATCTAATAGGGGAGAAATAGTATTTCAGAGTTTTTATT